CCGTGTAATATGATGTATTAAGAACTATGTAATGTTATGAACGACCAATAAAAAAAAAAATAGTGAGGTGATAGAGGAAAGAATTTGGAGTTAGACCTGGTGGGGGAAGTCTGACCTCTGCAGCTTGCCAGCTGGGTGACTTTGGGCAGGTGTCTTAACCTTTCTGGACCTTGATTTCCTCTTGTGGTAAATGAAGATACCCTCAAACGAATATGATGATTAAAAAGATCATACTCATAAAAAAAAAAAGACAGGGTCCCCAAGTGAATTTAAGATTAGAAGTTGGAAGAATGGACTCCTGCCATGTCGGTGGCCTGGAGCAGGTGCTTGAGTTCTCTGGGTCTCTGTTTCATTCTAAAGGGCAGTGGCCTGGGTCTCCTTAGGAGGCTTCCAATTCCTCAGACTCTGTGTAAAAGAAGGTTCAAAGGTAGGTGTTTGTGAGATACAGTGTGACGTGTGTCCATGGTGGAGCAGTTAAGTCAAGCTCATTAACGTGTCTGTCAAATCATGTACTGATTTTTTTCTGATGAGAACATTTGAAACCTTTTAACAATTTTATATTTATTTATTTATTGGTATTGGGGATTGAACCCAGGGGTACTTAACCACTAAGCTATATCCCCAACTCTCTTTATTTTTGTATTTTGACACAGGGTCTCACTATGTGGCTTAGGGCCTCACTAAGTTGCTGAGGCTGGCCTTCAACTTGTGATACTCCTGCCTCAGTCTCCTGAGTCACTGGAATCATAGCCTGTGCCATCACACCCATCTCAGCAATTTTGAAACACGTTATTATTATTAACTTAGTCACCATGATATACAAAAGAATTCAGGAACTCATTCTAATTGAAATTCTGTATTCTTTGACCAGTATCTCCCCAATCTCCTTGTCCCTCCATCTTTTGTCACCACCATTCTGCTTTCTACAGCTAAAAGCTTGATTTTTTCTTATGTATTTCACATATAAGTGAGATGGTACGCCATTTGTCTTTCCGTACGTAGCTTCCTTCACCTTACATAATTTCCTCCAGGTTCATCCATGCTGTGATGTAGGACAGAATTTCCTTCTKTTTAAAGGCTAAGTAGTATTCCATTTTGTATACATATCATATTTTCATTATCCACACATCTGTTGTGGGTCACTTAGGTTGTGTCCATATCATAGCTATTGTGAATAATGTTTTAGTGACCACGGTGCACACGTATCTCACCTTCTTGGAATGTTTGTTCGCATTTAAAAATGAATCTTGTCATCTTTCTTTCACTCCATGTATTCTTGCTACCTCTTCTGTTCATCTTTGCACTAATGTTCTCTGCTTTTTAAAACTTTACTTTTTTAATATTTATTTTTTGGTTGGACACAATATCTTTATTTATTTTTATGGGGTGCTGAGGATCAAACCCAGGGCCTCACATGTGCTAGGTGAGCACACTATGACTGAGCCACAACCCCAGCCCAAAACTTTACTTTTTTAAATATATATATATATATATATATATATTTTTTTTTTTTTAAGGCTTTAGACTTGAATTATTTTTTATTATTTGGCTTTTAAGATGTGCACTATTACAGAAATCCCTAAGATATTATATGTGACTTTATAGTTTCTGGATATCTTCCAAAAAATTTACAAGGATGTTATATAATCTTAATTTGGCATTCATAATTATTAATTATCTGGTAGTCTTTTAAGTTATTCCCCTCATTCTGTAATAAAACTTTTATATTCTAAAATTATGTTGGTGTTATGTAAAACATGCTTATTGCCTCGTTTAATCAGTTCTTCATTTGCATTTATCGTTTTGTTTCTTATACATATAAAATTTATAATCAAGAATTTGGATAATTTACATGTGGAAGTGGAATAGTAAGCTGCCACCCAACTTTAGGAATGCAAGAGAATTCCAATGTCTTTTCTCAAGACTATTTTTAAAATTCTGCAAGGKGATTCAGTATCATATCTTTTTAGGTCACTGTTGCCAAGGAGGTATAAATGGCACCCCTAGAATGGAAGTTCTTTGACATAGGACCAACTATATTACCTTGGCAGATGGAACCTATAATTATGCTGTTCAGGCAGCAGTCAGTCAATGAGTGCATTTTAATTGAATGATTAGTTCAGGTCAATGAAGTTGAAGGAAGTGAGAGACCCTCTTGCTACTTTGGAGGGAGAAAGCATAGCACATTTTTTAGAATAGCATATGATAAATTTTAGAGAAGTATTTCTTTGCAGTACTGCTTATCTCAAAAAAAAAGAAAGAAATTTGCAGACAGACACTCATTCACTCCGAGAGATGGGCACACAGGCAGTTATTGCTGAGCGGGCATACTTGAGAAGCTAAGTTATGTGATGCCCAGGCTAGGCACTTAGCTGTTCATATGGTGACTTGCCTAATCTGGTTTCTCTTTAAAGGTCTTGTCCCAGCTTGGTGACATTGCATTCCTTAGCAGGCTCTGAAGCCATTTGGTTTTGTAATCAGAGGCCTGGTTGGGGAGGCCCAGTTAGGATGGCCTGGGTTGCCATCCTGGGAAAAATTACACCAACACTGGCTAGTTGGAAGGATGTGCCTCCTGCTGAGGCACCTTGGACTGTTCTGGTAAATGAAAGTTAGTCACCATAAGGGATTTTTAAAGGCACTCTACACATTTTTTTTTTATTGATTTCTTCTCTGTGCACTAAATGGCTCAATAATTTCCTGCCAGGAGGAACAACTGAAATCTCATGAAGGCAAGCTGAAGCAGATCACCACTGAGCTGGCTGAGCACCGCTCCTATCCCCCTGACAAGAAAGTCAAAGCCAAGGAGGTGGACGAGTACAAGCTGAAAGATCACTATCTGGAGTTTGAGGTATGCTGCACCGGATGCTAACAAATGATTCTGTTACACAGATTGGTCTGTGGGAGGAAAGGTTTTTAAGTTACCATGACTGTGAGGCGCTCGCCCCAAGCCTGGCTCTAACCTGGGAGCTCGGTACTAACACCAATACCTAAGGCAGTCCTGGTCCTGATGGCCGTTTGTGTTTGGAATTCCACTTACGTGCCAAACTAACATCAGAGAGTGGCTGCCAGTTTATAGGTTTAACAGCAAGCAGCATGCACACTTGGAATTGTGTAAATGCTGTGATGTCAAAAAAAACTGCAGAGGACTTGTCAGGGTACACAGCTGCTCTCTGTGTCCATGGGTCTCTTGCTGCATAGTTTGAGTCCAAGAAAAGTATAGCAGAGGAAATGAGTGACAGGGTGATGGGAAGCACCAGCTTTTCCCCGCATATTCTTGTCATTAGGCGACACCAGGGTATTGTTCCTGTACTACTCACCACTCTTCAGAAGAGGATTCTGGCTTGCTGTACACTGGTATACGACAGCAAGTGTGGTTATTAGGAAGAATGGTGAGGATCCACGTGATGTGACGCAGAAAGGCAGAAAAATTAAAAGCAAGCTGAAAGCAATATAGTTCCAAATGGTTCCTTTGGCCAAGTTTTCTCCCCAATTAGTGTTAGAATCCTCCATTTCATCACCTCAGCCACCATCGTTAGACACTTAAGGTATCTTTGTACCCCCTCCCTGGCTAAAAAAAAATGTCACAAATATTTTTTCCATTGGATGTGCTGAATCCTTTTGTGGCTCTTCATGTTTATTGCAAGTCTAGACCCTTTATTTCCTTCTTCCTTCTCCTTCAGTCCCATCTGACCATCCTCTTTTCTTCTCCCTAAATACACCTGTATACCTCCACTCATCTACTCCTTCTACCTTGAATGCTCTTTCTATCATCTTCTGCAAGTCCTGCTCCTCTTTCAAGGAGCAGCCCAGATCCTCCTAGCAAACCTGCTCTGGACCTCCAGCTGGGTTAATCTGTATAGCACTTGCCCCAATTTGCTTTGTGATAAAGTTATGTTAGCCTGTCTCTGTAGTAGATCCCACATCCCCCTAAATAAGACTTTGAGCTCTTAAAGGGCAGGGATCTCGGGTTCATTTTCAGCTTATGCCTTGTCCTTGCTTGTTTAATCAGACAGAATTTCATAGAAGCCTTCCTGAGTTAAAAAAATATATATATATTCTGTCATCAAGTGTGGCATTAGATCTAACAGATGGCACTTCCATCACAGATCCAAATGATAGTTTTCTCCATGGTCAAGGAAGTCATCATTCTGGTCAGATGACTATCCCAAGAGGAATCTTTCTTTAGGTAAAGGTATAAGTTTGCTGGCAAAAACTTTGGAAGCCTTGCAGCAAAAAAGACTTGACAAAAATATTAAAAAGAAAAAAAAAAAACAAAGTAGTTCATCATTCCCCAGTCTTGTTCATTCTTGGGAAATGAGAGTTCTCAAAAAGCAATCATTATTCTTCACACTTCTGGAGTATCTTTAAGCCACAGACCGTTTGGCTTCACACATTGTAATTAAATTTCCCAACACCTCCATCCCCTGCTTCCAGTACTCAGCACCTTGCTTTGAGCCCTTGACTCTGAAGGGAAGAGCCTGTCCCCAGAAGGCGGGGCAGCCATGAGATAATGGAGACATTGCTGCTGCTTGGTGCACACCACCCGCTTTTGGATCTTCTGTGTTGCCCTTTTTCTGGAAATGCAGCCCAGCAAGCACCAACAGTTTTGTCTCCTGACCTGAAATGAGACCCTGCTTTGTGGGATGACATCCTGCTTTCATCAGATTGTGTCTCCAGGAGCATGAAGACTGCATTCCAGGCAGAGTCAAGCTCACACTCCAAGGCACATTATGTCAGGCTGGTGTCCAGCTGCATTAAYCTGTATCGACCAGGAAGGTAGAAGGTGCTTCACTTCATACAGATGTCATCTACAAAGGTTTTCATATCAGCGCTGCTCTTTAGAAAGCGAGTCATTGTTTTTCACTAAAAGAAAACTGGAGTAATGTATCATGAAGAGGCTACTTTTTATTTCAGCCACCAGAATTGGTCTCCTATGAGTGCTTGTGGCAGTCCTTATGTAGCATCCTTTGCTTTATAAGCATCATACCAAGTGGTTGCTTCATTCCCCAAGTTCAGGGAGACAGCTATTGGCCAGTGTGTGTGTGTGTTTTATGCAGAGCTGTATCCTCAGATCCTAGAGTATTGACTGAGCGCTTGATACAGACTGAGAGACTTAATGAAATTTTATCGTTATGTATAAAAGAAAATCACAGGAAATAATTCTCTGGGAATTACTTAGTATTAGTTATTTTTACAGGGCCAGAAGATGCCATGAAAACAAGTCTGATAAGCAGGTGAGAACAGACGGCAGTGTCTGAAGTTCAGGGGCCTCAGTGTGCAGTGACAGGGAAGACTAGGCCTGTCTGCATGTTCAGCAGTGAGGAACTGAAGCCTGGTTTAGCTCTCTAGCCTGTTGCTTAGTAGGTCATCATCAAGAGACCCCCCTGGTTTCAGGACAATTGTTTGTTGAGTCTTGATAACGAAAAACATTTTTATTTTGGTGCAATAGTAAGCTGTTAGTGATAACACCAGGGCTGTTCCTAAGTTATGCATTTCAGTGGTTTCTGTCCCAGGTTGCTTTGAGTACAGACAGTTCTTCGTGCCGAGCCACATTCTCCAAACCCCCACTCATACTCAATCATTAGAAATTCCAGTAAATTCACAGGGTTAGGGCTATAAGAAGATGACATAGACTATAAGAGGACTTCCGTGTCAACCTCATTTTTAGGTCTCATTTTTACCTAAAGCAGCAAATTTCACTCAGAATGGGCTGTGACTGACCAGATTGGCACTTTTCTCTTCTTTGACTATTAATTAGTGGAGGAGGGGTAGATGGTTGGTTTGTTTGTTTTTAAATAAATTACCCATAGTTGTGGCTGTTATTTTCTCAGATGAGTTCATTTGGAAGCTAATCTTACTTTGGAAAGACTTGTTAAGCATCACAGGTCTAAATTGAGAAACTCACTGTTAATCTCTCAAGTTTATGAAAATAAGTATAAGAATTGGCCTCATATTTTTATAAAGTATTTCTACTTTATTTAGCTCCTATTTTACTTTTAAATGTTTTCATCATCATCATACTTCCGGTATGTTAGGGAATGTGTGGTTTGTATCACAGGGGTTGTTTGTACCAGATTTAAAATTTACAAGACTCCAGGCAACGGAAACACAGTAGGTTGAACTGTGCTGAGAAGATCCTCAATGCCGACTGCACCATTAAAAGAAAATCCCCTTGATAGCRCTATCCTTGGCCCCGATATTTGGGCTTTGTTTCTTCAGCTTTAAAAGCAATCATGATTAGAAAGGGAAAATGATGTTTATTCCAAGATATTTTTCATATGTTTGTAATAGAGTTGAGTAATCCTTCTGTTGAGCTAGACTGAGTAGAGGCCGGGAGAAGGGGTAGCAGGCCAAACCTATTAACATGACTGATCTACTAAAGAGGGACTCCTGAGGGTCAGGTTGACCCAGGGCTCCCAAGAGTCTTTGTAGAGCTCGCTAGAAAAGAGTGATCAAGACAGTCCAGACGAGTCATAGGTGCCTAAGGTCACTGTGTTTTCTGTGGCCAGCACAATGTTGTATCTGTTTTAATTCATTTAGAAAGATAAGCTGTCTTCTTCCCATTACTCCCTGTTACATCATATCCACAGCTTTCCACTTTGTGTTAATGGCCTGACCACTGAAGGCATTGAGTTTGTAAACCCTATTATGGAGGCTGCAGCCAGTTGTGTTAGTTGAGTATTATTTGGATTTTTCCGCATAGGCTTTGGAATCAACTCTTCTGTTATAGTTCGAATGGGTCTCATAAGTTCATGAATTGGAAACTTAACCCCTAATACAGCAGTGTTGGGAGGTGGTGCCTGATAAGTTGAACGCTCTCTTGCCCACTCTTGTTCTCTCATGCCCTCCATTATAGGATGATGCAGCATGAAGACCCTCCTCAGTTGTCCAGACCATGCTCTTGGACATCCTAGCCTCTGGACCACCAGCCAGACCATTCTTTGTTCTTTATACTCAGTCTCAGTTTTTCTGTTGTAACCACATAAAACGGACTCGAAAATTGTTACTGAAAATTGTTACTATAACATCTGAAAATGTGGAAGTGGCTTTGGGACTGGGTTCCAGGCAGAGGCTGGAACAGGTTTTTTTTTTTCCCTCCCCTCCCCTCCCCTCCTCCTTCCCCTGATCCCCTTCCTCTAACCTATTGGTCTTCCTTCTATTAATTTATTTTTAATGGTAACATTATAGTTAGACATAAAAGTTGAATTCATTGTGATATATTCATCCATGCACATAACATAGTTTTGTCGATTTCATTCTACAGTTCCTCCTCTTTCCCATCCCTCCTTCCTCCCTTCAATCTCCTCCTCCTTTTCCACTGTTCTCCCTTCTGTTTTCATGACATTCCCCCCACCCCCGCTTTCTTTAATTCCCTTTTTCCCCCTAGCTTATGCAAATGAGAAGAAACATTTGACCCTTGACTTTCAGAGTCTGGCTTATTTCACTTAAACTGATGTTCTCATCCATTTACTTGCAAATGACATGATTTTATTCTTTTATTTTGGGCTGATCAAAACACTGTTGCATATATATACACACACACACACACACACACACACACACACACCCCACATTTTCTTTATTCATTTGTCTAATGATGTACAATCTTGGTTAATTCCATGATTTGACTATGGTGAATTATGCTGTTATAAGCTCTGGTATGCATGTATTGCTTTAATATGCTGATTTTAGTTCTTTTTGATAAATACTGAGGAGTAGGATTGGTGAGTTCATTCCTAGTCTTTTGATGAATCTCCATACTGCCTTCCAAAGTGGTGACTAATTTGCAGTCCAACAGTGTATAAGTATACAATTTTTCCCCATGTCCTCATCAGCATTTATTGTTAT